GGTGGTGGCCGGTCGGCTATTATTTCGCGGCGGTTCAGAGAGACCGACTCGGTTCTGGTTCGGCGCGAATCAGGTCTTACGGTCGCTAGGGTCGCCCCTGACAACGCCCTTGCCTGCATTGCGGTGTGTGGCTGCTTGCTTGCCCCCTCGGCTTCTTCTACCCTAGCGTTATCCTGCCACCATAACGTCTGACAATGCCCCCCTCCTCCCCCGAGTAAGGTCGGCCGAAGGAACGCGAATCCTTTATTCGCGTGCACCTGCCCCTCTTCCATCCCTTGCCGCTCCTGCGTTCCACGTAATGATATCTGTTGCTTGGATACCATCGTCCCTCGAACGCGATCGTCGCCTACCTTGCTTTCCTTCTTCCGTGGACACTGAGCCTAGGCTTTCCTTACTTTTTTTTTTTTTTGGGTCTTTTATTTTTTTCGTTCGGGGTGCTGTCCAGTTGCGGATGGTGTGCTTAATGATGAAGCTCTCTACCAGTCTGATCGGATGTACGACACGTGAAAATGATCTTGATCGTCGATCGTGTAGAACATAGAGCTAGGGCAAGTTCTTGCGGATATTAATTTTCATACTTTTTCGAATGTTCTAGAGCCATGGAAATAAAAGTATACTATACTACTGTGGACTATTAATGTCAAAGTTTCGGTGGAAATGGCAATGACATTGCGATATTGTCTCGGGAGCCGTGGTTTTCCCATGGTTTGGGCAGAAGTCCTGTCAGGAGAGGAATACAGGGAGCATGAAAAAAATGTTAGCACTTGTATAGAGCATTTTTTTCTGTTTCTGTAGAGAAAAAGGTTACATTTTTGTTTTTCTAACACCCTGTGTGTTATTTGACTTCGATTATCCAGAAGACGAACATTTTTTTATTCTACATTTTCGACTTATTTTTCTACATAGACTTGCCTCAAATGTCTTTATCGTATCATTCATTCTGCTTCGTCTTCTATAACCGTGCGTAAAAAGACAAGACTTTTGGCTGCTTCTGGTCGCGATAGAATGATTTTCGAATGATTGAACGTAGACGCAAAACATCCGAAACACGATCATCCTCCGGGAATATTGTAGATGTTCCTTTTCTGTTCTTCGCGAATTCGGATTCTTGATATTGATCGCCCCTGTCGCTCCCCCAACCCACGGCGATTCAGACTTGCCGCGCGTCAAGTGTCCCTCTTTCCCCGTTATCCAAGGTGAAACCTTCATCGACGCGAATCAGGATAAAAAAAGAAAATGTACAAAGAAAAAAAAAATCAATCAAAGAAAAAAGGAAATATGCAACAGTACATGTACTAGGGAGGGCTGTTTTATGAGATAGCGCTCGGGTCGCAAGAGTAATTTTGTCATTTCATTTGAATTTATTTCAATTTTACAGCAAATCCATTTATTCTGTTCTTATTTCTCCCACGAGTATACTCGCCGTTAAACAAAATAATCCCATCTTTTCATCTAGAGTATACTCGACAAACGTCGAAAGGGGTTAAGGGTTAATAAAGCGGTGATTTATTACCGAGAATCCTCGATCGATTTTCAACAAGCTGGTATTTTCACAAGAGTACTGGTTACCGCCGATTAAAATATGTCGATGCCCGCACGATATTAGCCCCGGAGTGAAATTGTGTGTTACACGATTTCCACGGCGAGGCAACGATCGCGCGCGTGGCAATAAGGTTTCAGCGAACGCAATAAAGCGACTCGCGGAATTACAGAGCGCTGCAAGCAGGTTAATCACGACGGCTCTTATTATACTCGGCTTCTGTGTATATTTTTTTTCTTTTTCTTCTCTCAGCGAGGTTCGTATTTTCCCGTCGTCATTGTTAAGGATCGCTTAATCGTAATCGCGACTAAATCCTGATGGGATAATTGCGGGATCGTGAACCTTCCCGAGGATCGCGAAACCGACCTGGTGTTTCACGAGCGATAAATTGCGCCTGTAACCGTTAGGTGCCCCCCAGCCTGAATAGATTGAACGGTTGCATTAATAAAGTTGTGTCATAATGTGCAATCGTGGAATAGATCGGACGATTCATTGCAAGATGTTTACGAACGGATAACAATGATAACCACGTTTCCGATATATACGGGGTGTTCGCGTTATTAGTAGCCACTCTTGCAAATGGTAAATGTTAGAAAACAATGAAAGGGGAAACAGTAGTACTCTGTTTTCCAAACCCAACGAAGTATACCACTTGTGTGTAACATGAAATTTTCAATAACCTTTACACATATATATAAGACCTTAGAGCCAGAATGGAGGTAATAAGTAGACTAAGGATCGTTTTACAAAATAACATTTTTGAACAAAATTAAAAACAACTTTTTTCTCCTCCTAGGGAATTTATTGCGTTAAGAATAACATGAGAAATATATTAAACCCAATGGAAGTTTTACTTTCAATTACATTTCGCCATATACTTCATGCTATAAGCGCATAAAATCCGAAGTCTAGTAATGATACATGAACTGTATCACCGCCCTCTAATGTAACATACCAATCTACAATTTTTACAATTTCTAATCAAATTTTACAAGTGGAATCAATATCCCTTTTTTGTTCATTTTTCCTCGAACGACCTAATGGATTATATCGACCCTCGTGCGTTCAAAATTCGCGAAGCAAAAGCCACGGACAACGACGTGTCGGGGGAAGCATGCGAATTTCCAGAATTCAGAAAGACAAACGACGCTCGACAGGCGAGCATTCGCGCCAGATCCTCCACTGGAACGGACCTTGACCCAGTCAAGCGCGGAAGAGAGGCTCGCTCCAGTCAGCGCGAGCGCTGTGTCTGACCACGAACGTTCCGTTTCTCCTTAGACCGCTTAGGAAGACAATAGGCCAGCGAGCGTAGTCGAGAGGAGTAATTGCACGGTTTTAATCGGGCACACGGGGAAAGCGGAGTAAAACGGAGTCATCGATGCACGATGGACTCTGTAATGACACGGTGAAGCTCCCGTGGATCGTTGGTCGCTGGGAATCAAGTTGATTGCGTGTAAACACGAGACTGCTGCATCGAGCTATGCCACGCACAATTGTCCAGAATCAAACGCAGTTGAAAGGGGTCAAGAAGAAATTTATTTCAGTTTTTTTTTTTCAATTTCTTAACACTCACATCAACTTATTATTGACCATAGAAGATTTTTTATTGTTCCCCCGGATCCTTTCGTATCATCAATCGTAATCAAAAGTAGGAAAAAAAAAGTAGGGTCGTCTACTGTCAGCCCCACTGACGAGTTTTGGTAGACGATTCCCAAGACGAAACACTATCTTTTTGATCTGCCTACACCGCCACTAAAATAAAATTATAAGGTACAACATTTTTTGATCGTTTGAGTTAAGTAAGTGTATCAGCTGCTGAATTTTAATTTTGGACCACTGTGCTGCGTGCCCAAACGATCGACAGTGGTCCGTTTTACGGATCTAGCTGAAAAAAATCGATTAATAATCGTCGAACCAATTTCTTTTTTTTTTTTTTATTAAAATAGTAGACATACCACAAAGTGCACCCTGCATTTATTATACGGCGGCTTTTCTTACATTGATCACCGAGTTAATTTCCAGCCGCTTAATTATTCTTGCGGCCGCGGCTGTTAAATCTTCGATCCATTAATCTTTTCACGGGCCGGTTCTTGCCCCAGAGGAAAACCTTAACGCGCCAATTAAAACTTCGACACCTAATTACTCCGGGCGTTCGCGAATCCGCGGAACTTTTGAAAATATCCGTCCGTGTCCGTTGATTGAACGTACACGTTTCAATCGATCGTCGTTTGTACTTTTTAAATACCTTTCTTTTTTTACGTCGTCTTTGTTTCACGTTCGTTCAAATGCCCAAAGAATCATCCGTACCTATAATTTAAATGTAATTGATAATTGTAAATTATCCAAGACCATCGGTGTATTTCTTCCAATTAACACCTGTCTGTCGCAATCCAGCTGAATGTTACGTGTAGTCAACAATCTAGTGACATACTAATCGATCGTTCATTCGAGTTAACGTGTTATTGCGTTCGAATCCTGCGGTGTCCTCTGCAAGAAACGCATAGAATCTGTACTCTAAAAAATTAATTGCCATGACGTTACGTGATCTTTCCTTGATAGTTTAATCGAGGTGCCTGTCTCTGCGCCACAGTCCTTCGTTTCCTGAATCTAACTGAGACGACAGAGAGAATCGTCTTTCTGCCAGGCGAACCTGTTAATTCGTAAAACGTTACGTGACAGAATCGTGCAAGGACGAACCGACTGGGGGAGGTGTGGGATACGAAGTATCTAATTGTATTAACGCGGTGTTGTCCAGGCGTCATCGATTAACCGACGTTTCGCCGATTCGCGCCATTACGCTGGACCGTCCAAAATTACCGGCCAGTAAATCGACGACCATCTCTCTCCCTCTCTATTAGGCCGTCCCCTGCTAACGAGAAATTAGCATGTGCGGGGCTGCGCGTAAAGCAGGGACGAGTTAAACCGATTAGCGTGAATCGATGCTCGTCTCTCCGAGAACACGTTTCTGGCCTCCTATTAACGACAATAAGGAAGAAACGACGGATGTCTTGTCGAATTTTCGACTCACCTAAAAAGTGTACAACAGAGGGTGGTTTAAGAAAAATTTGCGCAACATTTTTCTAGGACATAGAACTTCTACGATACACATGCCAAACTGCGACGTAAGGCAAGAACGACGAAATTGCGTTCAATGTATTGTTTCTGTTACCAATATATATTTAACAGTAGTTAAAATTACGTTACAGGTAATGATTATTAGTGGGAAATAGGGGTAAACGTACATGCGTGAAATACGTCTGATACGATATGTGTTATACTACTTGACGGAACCGTTTTCTAATTGATATACACGGGTTCGATCGATGAGTAGTGGACGGACTGATACCGAGACATATCGATGATATTTGAATAGTTTGATTGTAAGGTATTCAATGAGAAGTATCAAAAGGTATCGAAAGGTATATTAGAGAGATTAATAACGTGTTCGTTTCTGTTTCAGGTCGATCTGAAACCACTGCGGGAAGCGACGATCGCTGTCCCAACCCCGAAGATCTCGGAAAAGCGGAAGGCTGAGGAAGCCGATGCCAGCAAAGACTTGAAGAAGGTACGAAACAGTATTGTACTCACTTTAAACGAAAAAGAAACGTTCACCTTGTTTCTTTTAACTCTTTCCTTACCAACGATGACCTATAGTCACCCAACATCGACCTGCTGTCTACTAAAGGGTGACTATAAAATCAGCAAGCTGTGTACTATATTTCTACCATAGTCCCCCACTTGAACGCTTTTTGTATCCCAAATGTGACTCTATAGTCATCCGTCAATAATTCCCATTGCTTCAAGAATTTCCCTAAATTTCCAAGGCAAAGTATAGTCTCGACTCTTCCATACAATGCCAGCATAAAAGGTTAAACGGAAACGACCAAACGTTTCGCTTCGACGCTCGAGTTTTCCTTGTGTTACGCAAGGAACGTTCCACGCGCCGAAGACGAGAGAAAATCACAAAAGAAAGAAACAGAATGGAGAGACCATCGATGACCCCCTCTTGAATGTCTATTTTCGAGCCCGTGGGGAGAGTGCCAGCCCCGCGTCAGGCGAGCAGCAGCTCCTTAGCCGTATGAAATCGGTGTATAGCAGAGCCGAGAAACGGAGCACATATTTCATTTCCACTTGTGTCACGGTATCTCGGTCGTTCGCGTCGATATTCGACGGGCCAGAGAGCAGATCCCGGGCGCCCCATCATGCTCCACGTCTCCTCATTAATCCAAAACGGCCAGTCGTTATTAACGGAATAAACGGCGGTGAACTCGCCGTCACCGCCCGGGCTTTTCAGATTCGTCGATCACTCGCTTGATTCCCGTCGCTATTAACGACGTTTCGCCTCTATTCATCGATTCTCGCCCATGTGAGTGTGTGGGTGTGGGTCGATTTATCGCCATCTTAGCCCTCGATTCTTCGACTCTCGCCTGTATGTCGATTTATTGTCCTCTTAGTATCCAGACTATACATCATACTCGATTTCGATTGATAAAACCGTGAAATACAATAAGATGCTTAAGAGGGAAAATAAATTTCTGCAATTGCTCCTGTCTTTATCGATTACTTTAGAAACTTTTCGTTTTGCATAAAAATCCGCAGTATAATAATCACTACTCGATCAATGTTTGAACCGAGGGTTGAATCTCTGTGTGTTCTGTCCATCGAAATCGTCGGATATTCGTCCTTTTCCGTCGACAGAGAGTGTCTTCCTCGCGGCGACGTGTTGCTCAGCAACAGGCGGCCCCGGAAAATGCACCGTAGTTTCCCGAGGTTGCAGCCGCCCTCGTGCAGAAAGATTTTCGAAGCTCCGAATTATCTAGCGTGTCGGCGCTCTTTTCTTTCTGTTCCAGAATCGGGTAATCCTCCAGGGGAGAACCTATCTAAAACAATTTATGTATAATTGAATATCCAGGTGCAACATTCACGAAGTAGATCACGTGTACCGTTTTCCACGTTCGTCCCGTATCACTCTCGAGATCTCCAAGATCCGAGTGACGGTCACCAACCAGCAAATCCACGAACGTGGGAGAGAAAGTTTTGCTCGACCATCGATTCATTCACACCCGAACAGTTACTTGGAATTATTCCCATAACACGCGTGTGTTTCCCCCGTAGGATTAGTGGCGGATTAACGAAACTCGAAAGCACCGAGCGGTTAAGACTTTAAGCGGGTACCTTGAGCAATTAATTTCGAGAGGATCTTTCTCTCGAGTCGCGGAGGCTCTGAGACCCTTCGTTTTGGCATTGAAAAAAGAAAAACAAAAAGGTGACGGTGAATTTATCCTGGCTCGTCTGGGGTGCTCCATACCGTGGTAATTACGACGGAAAGTTACGCGAAAAAAAGGAATTCTTTCGCGAAAGGGGAACACGAAATACACGCTATGAATTCTGTACAGAATCTGTGATTTTGTTCGCGATGTAGAAACGACTTCCATACGCCAGTGAGCTAAATGGTGGTTGACGAATGTGTTTTTAAACGGTTATTGGACAATTTTGTTATTTATTCGGTAGTAGTAGATATGGAGTATTTTGATGCAGAAGTTGGCCATCAAAACGATTGATGTTTCACAAATAGACACGGCGTACTTTGATGCAGAGCTGGCCGCCAGAACGCTAATGTTACGCAAATAGATATATTTTCTAAGTAAATAAATATATCGAAACGATACTCGATCGACATTCGATGGAAAATTGTTTGATACGCGCTGGCCTAGAATCAAATATTTTATAATTCTGTTGAAATATTAACTTGTTCACCGTTTGTCGTTTTTCTAATGACTCGTGAATGTTTGCGATAAAAATTTGTTTCGACAAATAAATTCGTCGATTTCGGAGGCACATGCAGAGTGAATGTGTCGCGAAACATGCGTGTCATTGGTTATTAACCGCGCACCCCCTTCCGTCGCTTTCGTTAATGTAAATTTAATTGCCGTTTAAACGTCATTAGCACGCCCGGGAGATTAACATTCTGGTAAATCGAATGAGCGACGTTGATTTACCGTCCGGCGAATACATTAAATCAAATTTGCCGCCACTCGAGTAGCCATTCGTGACTGCTCTCTCTCTCTCTCTGTCTTTCATTGGGGGATGGTCTGGTACTATGAAACGGTGAGAACCACCATTTTCTCGGAGAAACTTTCTCCCTTTATGGTTGAATCGAGCATCCAATCTCATTGGTTCCTTCGAATTTTTGTCACCTATATACTATACATATACTGTGTTTATATCATAAGTGATTTTCGATCCTCCGTACTCGAGAGTGATTTTAATCCGAAGGATCACTTGGTTCACAATCGCACCTAGAACCTGTCCACGAATTTATAAAATTCGAATAATTAAAAACGATATATACCCCAAGCAGCGAAAGTTACCCAACCAGCACGTCTCCCAATTCCTCGTTCGTCTCCGAGTAATCCATTCGTATCTGGGGCATCCCGGCGAAACTCCGGAAAATCAAACCACCACGCCTCCGTCCAAACTCCAAACGTGCAAACTTCATTAATATTTCTGGTCCACGAATTGGGGAAGACGTCGAATGGGTCGAAGCGCGGTATTGGGCTCTCGCCGGTTAGCCAGCTGTTCGATCGCGCGCTGGATAAAGTGTTCACGAGCTCCGGACACGGATGTCGAAACTCTGCGGAACAGTGCGACGGGTGAAAGAAACGAACGAAAAAGAGGATAGCAAGAAACGAACCCCAGTCGGCCGCTCGTTCACTCTAACCCCTCCCGGCTGGCTGACTTATGTTTCCATCAGCACGAATTTTCGCGCCACTCGCCTACTCCCTCGGTCGTTCTGGACTTTTGGGGCTGTATCGACCGGCCCTGAAGCCGTTCCTCTCTTCCCTCTCCGTCCCCCAACCCCCTTTCGAGTCACGGTGTTCCCTCGTCCACGAGTCAATGTCTCCTTTGTTATCCATCGACTGCTTGCCCTCTTCTACCCCTTCGCGAATTTCGGCGAATCCATCCTATCGCGATTCACCTCTAATCCTTGCTGATGCGACTTTTCCTCTATCGGGCGGCAAAATTAAGTTTATTTTTATCTTACTCCCTTCACGTTCTTCCTACTCCTATGAGACAGGGAAAAGGAGATCCAGGGATTTCAGGGTCCTGGGCGTATTTAAGGTTCTGTGTTTACTGGTTGTGTCTGTCCACTGTTTGAAGGGAAGTTTCGTCGGTTTTTTGGATTATAGGGGACAGACTGATGGGGGAATTATTAATTTAACAGGGTATTTGGGATTGTAGAGTGGTGATAAGGGGATTTTATTTTGAAATGGGAATGGGTTTAAAGGAACAGAGGGTTGGTAGAGCGAATGAATACTTGAGTAACGCTCGTCTTACAGTTACAATTAATCCATTGGATCGTTTGGGTATTCTTGCTGATGAAATTATCGTTCAAGGCACAATCTTCCGTTCTTCCGTTGAGGGATATTCACGTGGTTCAAAGGTTCCATCCGTGACACGGGAATCTTTACCACGGTGCTCGGTGGTATTTAGGTTCGTGTTCTCTCTCGAGGGGTCCTTTCTTCGAAACTTCCTTTCAACCGTGAAAGGACAAAGTTTCCCCCAAGCGTGTAACAGCCTTATAATACCAACCGGATATTAATATAATCGTCGACGATGTTGTAACTAGGCGTGGTCTGATCGTAACGTTCCCATTTCGAATAAATGACTTTGAATGACCTTGAAGGACGGGTAAATGAATTCCTCACAAAATGGGCTATACGTCTACCTAAATGAAAAAATATAGGTCTATTAAAAAAAAAAAAAAAATGAAGGTCATTTCGAAATTTTTGAGGCACATCCACTTCGATTAGATTTTTGACCCTCATAGGAAAGCAATTTATGTTTGAGATAATTTTTTTCCTTTCAAATAACAAATAGTTCAGGTGATAATTTCGTGTAAAGGTTCAAATGGGACTTGTTTTCCAACTTTGTTCACTTTGTTCACCACGTCGTAGTTAATAAGAGGTTAATAAATCCAGGTTCGACGAAGATATAAATTCCCATTTCAGTGGAATTCCTTCAATCCCGTCGTTCCATGGAATACCGATCGATTCGATGGACAGACGAAGGATGGGTGGGAATTGTTTGCACGTCACGAATTCGTGTTACGCGTCCGGCTTAATCCGATTTACATGGCTCGGTGTTTCGACTAATTATTGTCTTAATTAAAACGCGTGACGGGAACGGGCTGCACGAGCACATCGCCACTGTACAATCTAAAGGTCCCTTACGTTCGTTCCAAGGGAGAATCAAGAGATCTGTTTCTGTTCTACGCGCCTTTTAAGGGGTTTGACTAGCCATTAAACGACCACAATTTTTGGTAATAACACGAGCGTACTCGTTATATAAAAAAAAGTATAAAAAAGCTTTTGCTATAAAAATTGAAATTTTTCGTAAAACATAGATGGGTACACATTTCCAAAAGAAAATCCCACGCTGTTAAAGGGTTAATAAATTCTTGTTGTATTCTTCGCCAAATTTTAATTTTTGTATTCGAAAAAACAAATCGACGCGCGGGAAAATTTTATTCAAGTTCTGAAGTTTGGTTGAGCTTCTATCTAAATTGAACCCGTTGTCGCTCCGTTCGAAGTTTAGTGCTTTTCCTTTCAAAGGGGCTTCCACTGTTTCTTTCTTGCCCCCCGAGGCTGTGCAATCAAAGTTATTGCCGTTCTACAGAAGCTCGATGAAAAAAAATAGAAAAAGGACTCAGCTGTCTCGGAGTTTCGAGGCCGGACTTTGCGCGTAATTTTTCCACGTTTATCGCGACCGACGCGTTCGGATATAATACCGTGTCCCGTTTCGAACCGTGCCAATGGGACCACCGCACGGCTGACCGAGTCGGTCACTATCTACTGGGCTGAGTTAGATGATAAATGCCGCGACAAATTATCACGCTACCTTATCAAAGAACCGTTCCCGTTTTTTTTTTCACCTCGTTCCTTTTCTCTTTTCTACACACGCGAAATTGGACGTTGTCTAACGACGCGCACTACTGTAACTTTCCTGTAGTAAATTGCAAACTAGTTTTTCTTTTTGATCGTCTGTAACTGCATTTGTACAGAGTGTTCTAAAGCTGAACGACCGAATTGTGTCGGTGCGTACTACGATCGAAAAATGAACTAAATCGTTGGTGGCTTCGGAAAGTTGTGATAAGAGTGCAGTTATTTATATAAATTTTGAGATTTTCTGAAAAAAAAAATCGAAATTTCACGCCTTTTTTCAAAAATTTACGCCTGTTACTAACATTCACGCGCATCTCCAATTCCTTGCAATTGTTCCCCAAAAATCATTCGAAACCGTCGACTCAACGAGGATCGAGAAATCATCCCCCAGGAATTCTAATCCAAAAGAAACTCCAGAGAAAGGGTCGTGGAAACAGTTGTTCGAAAGTCGCCCTGTACTACTCGGTCTGTTCCCTTCAATCCGTTCATTTTCTCCTTACTTTCCCGGACGTCCGTGTGTCGTCCATCCAGCCAGTCGTCTGACCATACGGTTCACTTATCTACTGGCTCCCTTTGTTCCAGGCGAAATTGGAAACGAAAGCCCTGAAAGCGAAGAGGCCAGGATTCACGGACGAGCGGTACAACGAGACCAGCTATTACGTGGAGAACGGTCAGTATACGTATAAATACATACCACATATATAGCCTTGGCAAAATGTGTTAGGCAAAAAAAAAAAAAAGCTGTAACAATAAAGGTATTGTTACAGCTTTAAAACTATTTTATCGAAACCTTTCTATTCTTGTTCGGCATCCCTTGTCGGGATAGCTCGAAGGAATTTAAAAACAGAGAGAGAAAGGGACGTCGAGTTCTCTTTCGTTTTGCTGTTAATATTTTGAAAGTTAGAAAGTTCTAGAAACATGCAGGAAAAAGGAGTAAATTAAGTGACCGTCAACGGAAGTTAATTCCTTTAAAAAAAAAAAAAAAAAAAAAAAAAAAAAAAAAAAAAAAAAAAAAAAAAAAAAAAAAAAAAAAAAAAAAAAAAACAGGGTTGAAAGTCCAAAATAAATTGCTCTGTGATTGTCAGTCATTGGGGCAGAGGGGTGGCCTAACAAAATATTGACAAAATCAATCAAATAATCATTTTTCACAATTTCAATAGTGTGATGATATCCTCCTAATGCAAAAATGTGTTGAAAAATTCATATTTTGGGGGAGGGGGTGCCTAATATTTTTGATTCCTGATATCGTTGCGATGAATTTTAATGCAAATAGATGTAAGACGCGTCTGCCAATCGTTGACCGCGCGAATTTACCTTCACTTCCTTTTGTCCTCTACTTCGACCGGTATGGATAGTGTTTAGCAACAGGAAGTAATGGGACCGACCACACCATTGATCGCCTCATCCCCCCCCCCCTTTCCCGTCGACCTTACACCGGTAACTGGCAGGTTCGCCGGCACTGTTGCCAGGTAATCGCGGATAATCCCGCGAATCGGGGCGCGATCCAGCCCATAATCCAACGGTGGATTCTCTCCCTGTTCTGTCGAGGTATTGTCGACACAGTTAACCCCCCCCACCACTTCTCACGCCTAACGATGAAATCGAACAGGGGCTAGAAAATGGCGGGAAAATGTTCTCTGTGAAACTGACCATTCAACAGTTTGTGAAAATCTTTTGGAATCTGCAAAAATTTTAAGTTTCCGTACGTGCTCTACGACTGGAATCACGGAATGCACCTCTTCCTGGCACTGAACATTAAATATTTTATAAACTAATAACCATATGAGGTTGAAACAAGTATCATTGGCTTCAGAATTCCAAGCTCTATCCACGGTGCTAAAACTTATTAAAATGTCAGTACTGTAAGTAGGACAAATGCAGTTAGCGGTTCAAGACTTTCATAAAATTGTATATATTTACAATCGTAGTACGATGCACTATTTTTGCCACGTAATTATAAATTAACGTATAATAACTAGCCACGAAAATATCTGACAGAATTAATACAAATTTTATTAATAGTAGCTCCCTCTGTAGCACTGGACCCCACAATTTTCCACCCAAGAAAAATATTTTCCACTCTGTACACACACACAAAACACATTCACCTCTGCACGGTATTTCACACTCCGATGTGTCACATTATTCCCAAGCCCTCGACACTGCCGCACCTTTAATCCGTGGATCGATCCACTCGAAATCGAAAAGTAACAAAGTGAAGTCGCCAGGCGAATGAGGGAGAAAGCAGGTTAGAGGAGAAGTGACGTGCGTGAAAAGGGGAGAGACGGTCGTGTCAGAAGTCTCTTCCCGGTAATGGGAATGCGTTTCTCGCGTTAAGGGGGGGAGGAAAGACCGTTCTCACGGGGTAGAAACAGGGGTTGTCCGTGTGTGTGTCTTTCGAGTGGCATTAACAGGTCTTTGTTTCGCCTGGAGGAGGAACCGAAGAATGGCCCGACGGTGGCGACACGTCGTCGCCATCGGTCTATTATATTCGAATGTGGAGCAGATATCGGTTGTCGATACGACGGCCAAGCTCTAAACATTCGATCGATCCTTTCACCCCTCCCTCACCCCATTCTCCAACCCCCCCTTTTCCCTTCGATCTTGCATCCAACGAAAGCTTGCGCCTACATTCGGTCCTTAACCGTGTCTTCGAGCGGGGCCACATTTTCCTTTTGACTTCGCGCCAACGCCGCCGGTCTACTGTTATCGCGCGACTGGAACTTGCAATAATGAACTTCAGTGCGAATCGATATAGCTATCGAACAGAGTCCAGAGAGTCTTGCGAACTTCGCCCGCCTGGTTCCACGGGGAGAGATGACTTACTTCCGGTGGAGGATATTTGTTTGCGGGAGTGAACGATTATTTTTTTGGGAGGGAATAATTGGTGGTTTATAGGTAGGTTTGTCTTGACGATCTAACTACTTGATGCTACTTGGTATTCCCTAGATAAAGTACTAATTGTAAGTTACTTATTGTGTATTTAGTGTATTAGAAAATATATGATTCCATTTAAAAAAACAAAGTTGACCTTCATATGACAAATCATCAAAAATCGTTTAAAAAAACCACACACACAGACCGTCTTCTATTTCCCTTCCATTCGGTGACGATTTTCGTTCCGTGGTGTGTAGGTGAGCCAGCGACGCGGCGTCGCTTTAATTACGTATCGACGTTAATTAAAAAACCGCCGTGCTCGATGAGTATCGCTCGCCGCTTCGTTGTTCCGTTGGCCCAGGCGATCGATTTCCCTCCGTTGTTTAGCAGAAGCGACCGTTCAGAGTGGATAAGGGAAGGGTGGAGGGGAGTGAATATTACAGATTCCGACCGGCTTAAATTAATAACCCAATGGAAAGTTCTCTCTCGTTCCCCCGTTCCCCGATTTATCGAGTGTCAATACGTCCTGGTAATTAAAGTGCATCCTAACGGGCCGACGCGGGTTCTGTATTCCGATCTCGCGCTGATTCGAAGCTGTATCGACATACCGCGAGACAGACCGACATTTCGTTCCGCCGATCTTTTGAACATCGAGAAACAATCGGGGAGGAAAGATGGAACGAGCAGTGGGACCTCTAAGAATGGAATTCTTCTGGACATCTTTCGATCAACGGAAGAGTTTGTTACCGAACTAATATTTCCACGTGGCCAACTAATTTAACAGGCAAATTAAATTTTTCTTATGACCAATAAATATAAGATCAAAACTTCCACCTACCAGAAACTACGAGAATGATATGTAAATTTAAAACTGTTATATTAATAGTGTCACGCGATGGTATTGTTGAACTTTTGCATAAAAAGGATCCTCCTTATTGGTACGGAATTAAATTAAATATTTGCCGAGTTTAATAAATCGGTACGTGAGCCCTCAAAGATTGCATTGATTCCTTCTCGAGCGGTTCCAAGTTTCACGAACTGCTAGGACGCAAAGCAAACTACTCTCGATTCTCGGACAGAACGGGAATTCACGGGACAATTAAATGGATCGATCAGTGAATCAACGGCAATCGAATCGGTTCGCATTCGAACGGTTCCGTTGTCCAAGGTGCAACGGGTTTCACCGGATGCTTGGAAGCTTCACGGGGAAGCGATCAGCCTCGACGCCGCTAGATACACCGTGTATCACACAGGGCAGATATAAGGGGAGGAGCATCTACGTGATTCAAATCTAGATCGGATCGTATCTCTGCCAGGGGAGCTAAGAGCGTGCTATTGGCCAGAGGTATCCTTGGCTCACGATACATCTGCCTCCCTCCTACTCGTCGTCTTGGCCTCTGTTTTAAGCAGAGGCTTCGCTAAACAGAGGCGCTCAACCCCCTCCAGGCGCACAGTGGGACGAAATGGGGTATCCCTTTAGACATTCAATTTTCTTCTAAACGACTAATCGTGTCTGTATCAATTTTTTTTAAATTGTGTGTGACTGAGAACGAATATCTTCTTAAACGAAACATATGTAAGTTCCAGAAGAATTTGTTAAAAAACATAACTGTTAAAGATAACTGTAACAATATAAAGATAACTGTTTATTCCTGGTTAAAACAGTTCGCAACCGCCTCGCAACATTCTCCCCCTCAGTCAGGATGTATCGGGTCTCATTGATTTCTCGCTCCCGTGTGCCCCGACGACTCACGCGAGAAATTATTCCCTCCCTAAACGAGATTCTCGACAGCGACGGCGTACTGTCACGCGGGCGAATCATCGCGAAGAAACGCCGCGCTCACGCGATGTGGTACGCCTCTGTGAGATCGCGATATTTTAACCGCGACCGCCACTAAATTCGTGGCTTCTGTCCGACGTTTATAATTCGCGCGAGATAAGATTACAGGGTCGGCTGGTGGGTGGGCGCAAGGAAACGGCCCCAAAGGTGTGTAAGGTGGATACAACACGGGAGGTGGACGATTTAGTTTCATGCACGAGGAGAATCGCTCTTACGGGGTCATGCTCGGTCAGAAATTTTCAAAAAAAATCGATTTTTCACTTTCCACATTTTCTTTAACATCTCGAGAATATTTTGTGCAAGATTTTTTCTTTTTTCACTTTTGACTCCCTATTACCCTGTATACCTTTTCATTTTTCTTTTTTAATTTCGTTTCGTCGATCAACGGAGAAACCAACTTTGCTCCAGTTTCTCTTTTATTGTCGTATTTTAGTTGAAATTTAAATAAATTTCTCCTTGGACGGAATATGCATTAGAGCGATTTACCTGGTGGTGGACACGCGTTTGTTTACATTTTTACTGCGTTCAACAGGGAGAATCGATTCGGGTCGTCGAACGAAAAATGCTGGGTGGAGGTGTAACGCATGGCGCGATGGCGGCTGTCCGAAACGTCGATGCGCACCAGCCTCGGTACATCGAAATATCGCGGGAAATATGATTGTACTTTATGGATACTGTTTCTGTTGGGGGGAAAAACATTGTTTACAATCGACAGTTTACCAGAAATATCATACGAATGAAAACAGACCGCTGGAAACGGCTCGTCTGACCCAACACCGACCTGCGCTACTCGCGTGGAACTTCCAGTAGCGTTAAACCGTGCCTGGTCAGACAGGCGAGTCTCCGTATCGCTGGCTCGCTTCGATGGTAAGATAACTTGAAAAAAATAATGTAAATTTTATAAGGGAACTATTTAAAAAATTCCAATTAACTTATATTTTTAATATTATTAC